TACTTTAGTACACCTATATTGACACCCGTGTAAGGGAAGCTGCTCAATGATCGCGGAAAATTACACAAACGTTTTTCTTGAGAAGAATCAAATAAGTTACTGACTAACCTTGGTGGGGAAGACTGTTGTGACGTAATGGCACTGGCTGGTGATTCAATTACAGGCAGATACTCCAGATCAAAATCACTTCCAAATAAAGAAAATGTTGCTGTTGGTTCCATCTCACGAGGTAAAAGATATCTTGTTGTACTTTGATGCACATCTTCATCACTTTTTATCTTCCTTTTTTTCTTCTTGGCTGATTTTCTACGCCTTTTACGTTTTCTTCTCTTCGGTTTTGAAGTAGGCGTGGTCATGGTACTGGCGCCTAACGAATAATTTAACATTTAAAACAGATGTAGACTAGTAGAAAATAGATTGATTACAGTTGCCAAGTTTATATCCAGTATGTTATGTTCTTTCAACATTTAAATCGCTGAAACTATGAGCAGGGATCGATGCCTACAAGTAATTTTCTACTTCCAGCTGTGGGAACAACTCAAACTTCATAAAAAATGTCAAAACCAATCTTCTTTGTAATATTTCTCACCGATACCCGGAAGAAATTGTCCCCTCGCCCGTAGGCGGCGACTGCCTTGCGCAGCCGAGGGTGGTTTCTGGAGATAGATAAGTACACATGCAATATAAGAGGTGTATGGGAAACTCGATGAGCACAAGGCGAGGATGAGAGTGTATGACGGTAGGCAGTCACGCGACCTTGGTTAGCTGTTGCTAATGCTTTCCCAATACTATCATGTATTTTATCTATGTCAAAACGCAGATGGATCACTCATCAAACATTTATTTTGTTAATTAGAGCTTGAAATGTCCCACATAACAATACGTAACTACCAACTCTCGTCGATTCTAATACTCGTTTGATCGGGGCTTAAAGGGATATGGCAGTAAAAAGTTACTTTGTCTTATTTGAAAGAACTTTTAAAGTTACGTATGAAGACCCTTTACAACTTTTTCGTACCTTGCTTGGTTTTCGAAATAATTTGACCAAAAATGGTGTGCAGTCCGCCATCTTGGTATAATAATTGACCTAATTAACTGAGTTTTTGATGACGTCACAATGTGACACTAAATTAGAATGTTGTGAGTTCATCGAGTATTAAAAAGACTTCGGAAAATCGAGTTTCATATTGATGACATGTGGTTTGCAAGATAAAAATTTCGCTTTTTAGGGTAAAAAGCGAACTTGCGACGTATGCATATCGAATGCATATCTAAGATGGCGGAATGCACGCTGCTTTTGATCAAAATAAGTTTATTTATTTCGAAAACCAAGCACGATACGGAATAATTGTTAAGGAACTTTATATATCATTTTGATGTTTTCAAATAAGACAAACTTAATTTATATTGCCATATCGCTTTAAGGCATAACCAACCTACAACGAACTTAAATTACCTTTATGTGAGGATTTTGTTTTCTTTGTTGTCTTCTTTCTCTTTGGACGCCGTGCTGGAGTTCGACTACTTCCTTGAGTCGTTCTTCTCCTTCGTCTTCTCTGCCGTGATGTAGCCACAGTTCTTGCACGACGTTGTGATGTCGAAGCTCTCGAAGATATGATGCTACCTAAAATAGTACGTCATGTTACGCCATGGCTTTTCAGTAAAATTCTATTAAGCTGCTTTGAAATAAACTGGCCAATTGCACGGCTAGAACTGCTGACGTTGCATGTAAGCCATGTTTGTATAGGTAATCATGCGATGGCGAGTACAAATTAGGGATTAATAGTACGAGTGATGTTTGGAAATTTTGCAAAAATTGGACGAGCCGCCGGGGCGAGTACAATTTGGCAAACTTCCAAACGTCACGAGTATTATTAATCCCTAATTGTACGAGCAACATCGCATGATTACTTGTTTATTATTAGCATGACAAAATTGGATACTTCTCAATGTCAACATCATATTCTCTCGCCAAAGCTCAGTCGTGCCAGACTTTCAACCAAAATTTGGTACTTTTGTTCGTATTTTCATTTAGTTCTTTTGTTAAAGCAAAATTTGGTGCTTTTGTTCGTATTTTCATGTAATTCCTCAAGGGCAATTTCATTCCACATTTGTGTTCAAAATACCTTTCCGCCATTTTGTTTGTTTTGGGAAAATCATTAATTGTACTGCAGTACAATTAATGAAATAATTGTACTCCTCTCAACCAATCAGCATCCAGTAATTTTGTCATGCTAATAATAAACATTGTAACGGATCACTTTGCGTCCGATGCAAAAACCATACCGGATAAGGCTTCTGTTTACATATGAAATGTTGTTATCGTCTCAATTTCTGCAACGAACCGATGGTGCGGTGGTTCGCTCTTCGAAGTGGTGCGCAGTGTATCGGAATGGTTTTTGCAACGCTCTCATTGAGATGTAAACACCAATCGGAGCAATTTTCGGTTCAATGCGTGACTCAAGATGGCGTCTAACAAACAAAATCTTCCTATTCTAATCTTATTTGTGGGTATAGCTTGTTCACTCTTTTAAATTATGTCTGCAGTATTTTTGTATTTGGTAAATATATACAAGCAAATACGACGGAATAGAAGGGCGGAAGCTGTTTACACTTGGGCCGCAATGTTTCGCGAAAGAAGCAAAAACCAATCCAATGCACCAATCCAATGCAACCAATCCACTGATCTATTAGCTCAGTAGTTACATCCTATCAATCTGAAGGTTTGTTATTATTGGCACTACCTTCCAAGATTACTTCCAGTTTGAATCTTAGAAACACCGATGATATTTCCCGGCCCTCAAACCTTTAAACCTTTTGTTATATTTTTACTACCGTTCTTCGATATATATTCACACATTGTCCGTTTTCCTTTTTAGAGCAATGGCCGTTTTGGTACTATTAATGCTTCAAACGTAGGTTGTATGGTGTAGTTTTTGGAATAAGCCGAGGCATTGTTTGTGGCTGAACTGTAATATACAATACATGACTAGGGTTAAAAGATAAAAACATTAAGGTACTGCTAACCGCCTGAAGAAGGGCCTTGCTCGTTTTAATACTTTAGGTGGTTCCGACCAATGAACTCCACATGTACATGTAGAGTATAAGAACTCGCGTAGAAAAAGTGAAGCCAAAGATGGCGGAAGTTGACGTCCAGTGGTTAACACAAGGCGGCAAGGAATGTGCCAAAATTTGGTGTTTAGACTTAGAAAACATTTTCCGTGTTTCTATATAGTTGTTGAAACACGCGTGGTAGTTTAGGAGAACGAGAAATAATCAGTGGGAAAACACTTTTTCCACGTCATTTCGGGAATTATTTGGTATCAATCGGTAACAAGACACAGGGCTCTATAGCTGATACATCAATCAAGAAAATGAGACTCTATATAGCCAAAACTAAGTACGAATCTGTTGTGGCGTCAGCAGTAGGCCTAATTTTAATTTCCATACGATAGAATGACAATCGCAGCGTGTTAACGTACTGTACCTGAAGAACAAACACACGTGTCGAGCGAAGGGTTTCGTCTGAGAGTTGCTAGCCGTCGTTCATTGTCGCTACTAGAGAGTTTGGCAACCTAGAACGGCAACGACAACGGGGAAAATATAATTGCTTATAGTGTTGTATTTGAGCCAAAGTATACGTTACTACACTTAATTTGCCTCTTTTAAGTATTCCTATTTCTTTAAAACGTACCCTTAAGTAAAAATAGTCCGCGAATTCAAATAAAACACCTCAAATAACATCGAACGAATTAACTGTTGCCGTAGTCATGCACCGTAAAAATGATGCAAATCATGTACTAGTTTCAACAACTACGGCGTTGCACAATGCTTAAGACCATGTAATTTACATTCGCCTTTGTCTTTGACGATTAATGCTATTGTTGATGACCATATTGCCGTTGCCCTTGTATTTGCCAAACTCTCTACTGACTTACAGACGAAGAGCCTTCGTTCAAAAACGAGGAAGTTTATTGTTATTTTTAAACAAGCTTTCATTGGTAGTGATGCATTAACTACTTGAAAGGAGAATTTCGACGCTTCGAGCGAAGGTCCTCGGTCTGGAGTTACTGTTATTTTACCAGGGAGTAGCATTCTTCATCCAAACCCGCATATTGTATTCTTTGCTGCCGACACCTGCAACCAACATTCAAGACTTTATAACATGAAATGACACTTACTAGCAATTGGTCTAGATTCCGATTCAAATGTTGGTATTTCATCATCAGAGAAAGCAATGGCATGCTGGGAATAATCAATGGTATCATGTTCTTGTGTGTTGTCTTGTGCAGTATCTATGAAACAATCGCGACAGAACCATTCTTCGTCAGGAACGCTGTCCAGAGGTGGACTTAAACACTCAAGATGAAATCTGAAATAGAGTTGGGCGATATAATTATAAAAATCATCTCGTGATGATAATCCAGGGACTGGTTGTATAAAACTCTTAACTACTTTTTAACTACTATTTTGTAGTTAAATGGTGGTTATATAACTATAAAATATACGCGATCCTGATTGGTCACCATTTGCACTAACTGCAGTTAACTTTCACTGTATTTTTATAGGCCTACAACCAGCCACAGGACTTTACCACGCGCGAAAAATGCAATAAAAACAATGAAAACGCACTAAAAACAAAGTGCACTATGACCAGACAAGTCTACAGTAAGTTGAGAAGACCGCCAAAGTCTCGATTGATTATTCTCGAGAGTGTGAAAAAAAAGATCGCCCCGAATAGTTTGGCTGACGTGGTAGGGCGAAGTTGTACATGTTTTTGTACCTCCGCTTCTACCGAATTCGATAACATTAAACTGAGTGGATACCTTGCAAGCTTTGGCCAATACACAAAAGTTGTGCTCGCGTAGTATAAATGTTATGTTATAAATCAAAATATCGCCTAACAATCTAAAATAGAATTATGGAGTAAATTTGGCAAGAACTATTAATTGAAAATCACAAATGTTATATTTCTTACCCTCGATCACATCCGTCACAAAGAAGCATCCTATCTTCACGATCACCAATACCACATATCTACGAAATATAAAGCATTGAATTGAATATTACGGACATTATTAAAACTCTGGGTAACCAGTGTAATATTGAATAGGCCATTTCTCAATTACACTCCAGTTGCTAAATTTACTTTAGAAGCAATACAACTTTGCACGTCGAATCTAACCATGCGCAAATTAGTCTCGTTCTCGGGCTATTAGAGAGGTTCAGACTTAACTTCCACTACAGCTACCGCTATACCATGAAAGGATCATTAATCAAATAAATGAGTTTGATATATCGGATTAACCAATCAGATGTGTACTAAGTCAGTGAGTGGTAGCGCTAGTGGAAGTCAAATCTGTACCTCAGTCTCCACTGTTAGTGAGCATTTGACTCAGAGACGGATTTTCATATTTTCGTTCGGGGGGTGGATAAATATCTGGGGGGTGCTGCTGCTTGCTTTGGCCGGGGCGAGGTGGCAACGCCCGGAAAGGCCAAGGAAAAAGTTTATAAAAATTTGTTTTCTAGGCCTGCATCGCGAGATCTGAGACCATAATATTGGTAATTTTACAAATTTAGTAGTAAGAATAATCAAATATGAAACTATCAAATCAAAATATATGTAATTTGCGGGGGTACCAAATGCTTTTTTTTGGGGGGGGGGTGCAAATCATTTCTGGGGGGTGCGCACCCCTCCGCACCCCCCCCAGAAAATCCGTGCCTGATTTGACTGTAATTTAATTCAGAAATGGCCGGTTTATATCAAACTAATTAGATTAGAAACTTTATTTAACGAGGGTAAATTCATAATGTACTGTATGAATCTAAACTAGTCGGCAAAGCCCTAAATTATTTATACCGTATACACATATCCAAACTATTCTCCTTACAAGAAACAGAAATTCCGAATGAGTGCTACAGCTCAGGAGGGAAGGGGAATAAACCTGTGCATGCACGTGGTGTTTGGTACAGTAGAGTCAAACTGCATGCGATTTTCTTTTTCGCCCTCGTCTGATCCTCCTAGAAAAGACAGTTACACTGGCTAGGAACTTCGACTGAAGCGAAATTATCAGGTGGAGAATCTTGGTAACAAATGTAAAAGGCACGTGGAGTAAGTGCATGCTGTTCTACACATATCTAAAAATCTCACAACTTGTCAACAATTAAGTTGTAACAATGCTGTTATTTTATCAAGTTGCTACAAGATTGTCATTCACAACTTGTTAACAAGTTGTTGAATCGCAGGACGATGATAACAAATTGTTGAAATAACTTGTGACAAGTCTGTTGAGCTCAACAACCTTGTAGCAAGTTGTCAATAAGCCGTTGACAACTTGTCTACATGCAAGCTGGGAACAAGCAGTGCGAACGCATCCTGTTGACAATTTGTTTGAACAGCATTGCTACTAACAAGTCTGCCGGAGGTTTGTTACAACTTAATTGTGACTTTTTACGCGTGTATATAGGGGCATTCTCAATGGGGTACTCACGAGTAAAATGTCATGTTTCAAGGTTATACCTCACAACTGGTTGGATCTTCATATTCCTCTTTCACTTGAGTTTTATCTTCAACTTTAATCTATGAAAGGAAGAGTAATAGATATGTTGACGTATATAATTTGAGAAGGGGTTAACCAAATTTAAGCATGGATTTCCAGTTGGTCTTGGCTGTACCTACTGTGCTATGATCGCACGGTTGAGTTATCTTTACCTGCAGGCGATGAAAGGATTGGGAACAACTGACCGTTTAGTAGGAGTTGAACGTTTACGAAAGAAAAAATCACGTCGCCGATCTTTAATGTTAATTTTGTCTTCCTTACAGATTGCATCGATGCATTTACTTGCATGGGTGTTTCATGGTGGGCACTTCATTGCATTTGCTATCTTGCAGACATGGATGTTACAACCATAGCAAGGTAAAGGGGCAGTTCCCTGACGTCTTAAGAGAACATTTCCAACTACAAATGGCCACAATCTTTATCAATAATGATATATTTCAAGTAAAAGAAAACTCCATATAGTGACATATTGGTTTGTGATATGACAATATGATTTGTTAAAACAGGCACTATATCATGGTAATATTTCCATTCCACACTCATTATCAAATCAGGTTTCCCATGTCCATGTTTAGCTTTGCACTCGATCTGTTTGAGGCGCGACTTCAGAATGGAGTTTAGCTCTCAGCTGCAAGTAACGATGATTAGCACACACACTTACAGTACTTACTAACAATATGATCACATACATATTGAGTGAATCTGACTTGAAGTCAGATTTCTGTTTTTGGTGATTGACCGATCACGCCACAATCGGAAATTGTTACAAGCCTTTGTCGGCCTAATTCCGACTGATAAAACCAACCGAGAGACGTCAATCATTTTGCACGTATAGAAACTTGCATATAATTTGATTTTAAATGGCTTCCTTGGGAAAGTGAATATAATAGCACAATTTCTACAATAATTTTCAATCCACTAAACAGTTGCAACGGCTGTAATTTGGCAGCCTCCAAAGATTTGTTTTATTTCAATATCACATTTACCCATTCTGAATGTGTACCACGCTCGCCTTTCAAGCTGGGAGAACGGATTCAATCCTTTTTCGCACCTTTACTCATGCAAGGTCTCAAAATAATTGAGGAGAAAGAGCTACCTTCATATTAACATTGGTAAGTGGTTGGACTTTCGCGTCTTCTCGGATAAGGACGTTAAAATCGTAGATACATCGGATCCCCTAGTATCAATTGGGCAATAGCCTGTTGGGACAGCCGCTCACCAATGAGTGAGAAACTGAATAAACAATAATCTGATTCCAAAGCCAATTCAACCTTTATCTATTTTACGAGTTTCATTGTCTTCATGGTACCATAATAACAATTCTATTCACTACACACCTCCTCTATTGTCACTCCATTTTCAGCCTTCTTTACTGCAATCGTATAGAACACTTTCCGATCCACAGGACATGTATTGATATTCTAGAAAAATAAATGGTTTGAGAGTAACTTGTGTGAAATTGAAGTAAATTCTTAATCAAGGCATCCTCTAATTACATATCTCACCAAACGTGGTAGGCCTATCGTATCAAAAATTCGTATCACTATATACCACTCCCACAAATGTCTATAACCACATTCACATAATTTTGCATGTTTACAATGTTAAAATGCTTTATAGCAATTGTTATCAGGAACGGGATTGGCTGTTTAAATTAAAATTGCAAACTTGCAAAAATATGTAGGTGTGTTCACAGACGTTTGTGGGTGTGAAGGTGATACGAATCTTTGCCGCAAGCCTGCAATGTCACAGTCCGGGTGAGATCTGTAATAAATATAGCCTATTACTCGATAATACTCCCCGCTCCTTTCCTTCGTCCCATCTTCCTTCACAATAATACAATACAATACAATACAATACAATACAATACAATACAATACAATACAATACAATACAATACAATACAATACAATACAATA